ATAAAAACTCCATTTTTGGGTAAAGTATATTTGAAGGCAAAACCTTTGGTGCTTCTATTGCCTCACGCAACAAAAGACAGAGTCCGGCTTCGGTCCAGCCTCTTTTGGTCCGCGCATCGTTCGTGCATTCAGAGGACTCGCCGCGTGTCCTCCGAAGCGTGTGATGTTCTGAAACGTGCGGAGGGCTTTAACCCCCGTTAGTAGCCTCTACCGTTAGTGAGTTAACTTAGACGCGAGTCTCTCTTCGAGTTCTCCTCTCTTCTCCTATCCTCTCCTTTGTCAGATGAGTCTGAACCTCACGCTCACTCCTCTCCGCCCAACGGCGAATGTAAAACCATCACCGGTGGTGGATTACCGGGGCAACATTTTTTTTCTTTACTGTCGACCTGAAAACCGATGGCCAAAACGGTTTCATTTTCGGGTCGTATGAATCACACACTCAAATGACATAACATGTATAATACTGCTCAATGGACCTCATACACTCAATTTTTTGCTTGTAATTTTTGTTGTCAAATTGGGTCGTCTGTTCGAACCGTTAACTCAAAAACCGGTGGTTAGAACGGTTCCGTAACTTTTTGCTTATAAATTTTTGTTGTTAGAATGGGTCGTCGGTTCGAACCAAACAATCTAGCCATCGACCCAAAAAACGGTGGCCATAACGGTTCTATTTTTTGAGTCGTATGAGTTACACGCTCAAATAACATAACACGTATGATACTACTTAATGGACCTCACAAACTCAAATTTTTGCCTATAATTTTTGTTGTCATATTGTCCATTCGAATTGGATGATCAAATCATCGACCTGAAAATCGGTGGTCAAAACGGTACCATAATTTTTTGCTTGTAATTTTTGTTGTTAGAACGGGCCATCCATTCAAACCGGACGGTTGAACCATTGGTTGTCAAAACGTTATTAACAACATTTATCAATAATAGTAAGTAATTATACTATTTAATTAAATAACCATTAATGATAATTTTAATAAGATTATTTAGTGATTTTTAATATAACAATAATTATTAAATTTATGAATAGGATTTACTAATAGTAATCATTAAATTAATAATTACCAAAATTAAATTAATTAACATTACTTATCAGTAATAGTCAATAATTATAATATTTTATTAAATAATCAATAACAATACTTTTAATATCATTCTTAATATAACAATAATTACTAAATTTATTAATAATATTTATAATTTTAATTTAAAGTAAAGTTAAAGTAAATATCTTCTATTTATTAATAATATTATAATAACGATAATTATTAATTATAATAACTAATTATTTATTTATTAAATTACTGTAATAATAGTAATTATTAAAATCGGGTTACTAAATTTATTAGCAGTATTTATAATTTTAATTTAAAGTAAAATTAAAGCAAATATCTTTTATTTATTAATAATGTTTATAATAACAGTAATTATTAATTATAATCACTAATTATATGTTTATTAAATTACTATAATAATCAGTAATTATAGCGAAAGGGAGAGCACCCTTTCGTATTACTATATATATAGAGATAATTCGTGGTTGTTACACTTCTGTTCATGAAGACGCTATCAAGTATTTGAAGCAACTGAAAGAGCGAGTGAAGATATTAGAGGAACAGACAGTCAAGAAAAGAGTGGAATCTGTGGTGTTAGCCAAGAGATCTCTGATCTCGGCCGGTGATGACAATTCTTCCTCCGATGAGAATAACTTGGGTGGGGGTCGCTCCGATGATAAGGCGGCACTCCCGGAAATAGAAGCGAGAGTGTCGGACAATAACGTGCTCATAAGAGTTTTGTGAGAAACAGAAAGGAGTTGTTGCAAAGGCACTGGCCGAGATAGAGAAACTCCACCTGACTGTTGTCAACAGCAGCGTCATCCCCTTTGGGAAATCAGCTCTCAATATCACCATAGTTGTTGTGGTAAGTCCATCCATCACCATCGCCGAATCAATTAATTTATTAGTGTTGCTTTTATCTTGAACATTCTGCTTTTCGAAGCCGTAATCTGATTTCTCATTCTTTGTTCAATCTTTAAAAAAAGGGAACCGTTTCTGATTAATTGTTGTAGATGGAACCCGAGTTCTCCATGAAAGTGAAAGATATTGTGAGGCATCTCCATTCAGCTTTTAGACAATTTATGTAAGAAGAAGAATAATAAGACGAAAAAACAAAAAGAAAAAGAAATGTGTTATGAAGGCTCAGTTCCAATTGGTTTTAAACAGTGTATAGAAGAAGGATATCTTTTTTTGGCTTCTTCGTGGGTAGAAGCTAAAAGATGATGGATTAAATGATGGTGGGTGGCTTACAGGCAGTCAGCTTAAGGTCCTCCATTTTTTCTTCATAAAGAAGTAATTCAGTAAAAGAAATCTGAAGAAATAAAACAAGGCCTGCAATTCTGTTGCACACATAAACACATATTTTCAGACCATTCACCATTTGCTTATCCCTTTGTTGGCTCTGAGTTTCGTTTTGCAGGAGGGTTTTTTTGTTCGTCCATTTGCTGTGGTCTGTCTGTTTTTTTGTACAGTCAACTTGTTGACCGCGTTTATGTTGGGCTGTGGTCTGTCTGTCTTGATCCGCCGCCGATGATGATTGTATAGTCGCCCATGGTGATGGTTTTGCAGTGGAGAGGAGCGAGCGTGAGGTTCGGACTCGTCTGACAGAGGAAAGGAGAGGAGAACTCGAAGAGAGAATCGCGTCCAGGTTAACCCACTAACGGTAGAGGCTACTAACAGGGTTAAAACCCTCTGCACGTTTCAGAACGTCACACGCTTCGGAGGACACGCAGTGCATCTTCCAAATGCGCGACTGTGCGCGGACAAAAAGAGCCTGGACTGAAGCTGGACTCCAAAAGACATGGGCTATTAAATATCTTGTAAACATCAGATTACATTTTGTTTAAACATTAAGCGATAAAAAGTAAGACATATTTAATATGATCGGTACCTTAATTTATGAAAAATGCTAAATCAATTGGTTCATTTTTTTTCCTGTTTTTTGATGAACACTGCCCATTTGTTCTACCTATAATCTCAAAAATGATGATGTCATCATCAGGAGATGTTCCCAATACACGACAGGGATGTAGTATGGAATGTTATGGGATTCGAAGGTATTCCATCCACCATATATAATTTAGCGCTTCCTCTCTTTGCTTCTTGCAAAGTATGTGTAAATTTTTGTTAAGATTTAACTCATTTATGGCTTCTAGATTTCGATTTCCTTAATGATAAATTTCAACTAAGGGAAAAAATGCAAAGGCTTGTATGGATTTTGATTTTGATTTCCTTGGTTTTGGGAGGGTGTTGGAATGCTTTTTATTGGTAGGTGAGTTGCACTCGGGGAATAATGCAAAGGCTTGTATGGATGTTGTTGGGACCTAGGGTTCAGTTTAGGCTAAACCCATCCCTCCCCAACCCGCATATTATTGAAAAGAATATAAATTTTATGTATTAAGTGTTTAATTTAATAATGTTTTGAATTTTATATGAATGACAATTGATAGTTTGTGTTTTTTACACCTTCTAATCAAGTAATTGGAAATTTTGTTGTTTATTTGTGGGTTCTAAACCCAATCAATCCACCCTTTATCTTTAAATGTGGGGATGGTTTTACACTTTTATGTACGAAAAGGATTTGAATTCTCAAAATCCAACCTACTATTGGTTTTAGGACAGATAGTGTTTGGAAGGTTTAGGGAGACAAATAGGGGATTAAACTGTAGGCTCATTTTTGAAATGAATTGGTGTTACAATTTTTTGGAAGCTGGTAATCAAAACTGAACTGAAGCCAATCAGTTAACTGGTTGACTGATTTAGTTAGCCATCGATTCAATTCATTGGTTTTTTATTATTTACAAGACATATTATAATATATAATATTATATTTTAAATGATAAATAATATATTATATATTATAAATATATATATATATATATATTTATTAATTTATAATGTATAAAAATATAAAATATATAATGTACATAAATTATATATTATATATATACCAGTCGGTTTTGTTAACCATCGGTTTTCTATTTTGTTTAACTGAAACCTAATCGATATCAGTAGTTTTTTTTTTTTAAATACCAATTTGAAATCGAATCGACCAGTTTGGTTAATCGAATTTTTGATTCGGTTTCGGTCGATTTGGTTTTTCTTACTGACCCCTTAGACGAATAGGGAAAACCCTCAATTAATCATTACCTCGCACGCTTTTGTCGGTAGTTGGTATGTTATTTGCACCTAGGGGTGATCATGGGCCAGGTCGGGCTTTGCACTTATGATAAGGCTATAGCTTAGGCTTGGGTCCGACCTTGTTTGGGGTTCCGGACCTGTAACATAAGCCCTAGCCCAGGTCTACACGAGCCTGGGCCGGGCCGGGCCAATGTCTTTCATATATAAAAATTACATATCTATAATATTTTATATTAAATGACATAGCATACATATAAACTTTTATTTTATATATTATATAATATAAAATATTACATATAATATAAATTATACATGTCATGTTATAATATTTATATATAAATTATATAATACAATATAAAATAACATGTATATGTATACATTATACACAAAATATATAAACTTAAATATATGTGAATCAGGTTAGGATTGAAGTATTAAGCCTAAACTCCCTCATAAAATTTATGGGCCTAACCACAAAACCCAAGCCTAAGCCCGCAATTTCCGGGCCGAGCTGAAATGATCACCCCTATTCGCGCCCGCACGTTTCCATCGCTAGCTGGTATCATTTGCGACCGCTGTTGGGACCAGATCGGTACTCGTCTCGTAATAAACAAACGGTTGGTTCATGTGATTCGGGTCGGTCCGGCCCATTGGCGAGTCAACTAGACGATCTTAGTTTTACACGCCCTCTCGTATTCTCTGGAATTGTCCAGAAGGTTGTGTACACCTGGCACTGATAACGTTATAAATTATCGAATTCTAATCCGACGGTTCAGCATTATGCCCATCGTTTGTTCCTTTACGGCCAGTCACAGTTTCTTATTTTAGACCATCATCTCTCTAAAATCAAACCCTAAACCCTACGTGACGCTTATAAATTTTCTTCCCTCATCGCCTCTCTTCTCTACTTCTCTCTTTCCCGCCGCGTTATTTCAGTGAGTTACAGTGTGGTTCGCCCCTACTCTTCCTTTCTTCCTATTTTGTTTCTTTTAATTTTCTTGATCTTTTGAAGTATTTGTGTGCTTGTTTTGGATCTCGATCTTCTCTTTGGTTCAATCGAAGATTGAAGATTCTCTAGGTTTTATGTCTTGTCTCATGGATTGATTTACCAAGATTAGATTGTTAGTGATTATTGATCTAGATCGAGTAGTAACTTCGCATTGGTGGCTCTGTTTTTGTGTCATTGGAGAACTAATTATTCGCTATTCAGTCTGTGATGACAAATTTCAAGGCTTGTTTCTCAAAACATTCGCAGTGGCCGACTAAGAGCTTTCGCCTTCGCCTGGCTTGAGAGCTTGTGCTGCTCCAATCCTTCCTTGGATGTCTGAGACATCAAACATGACCCACAGTAAGGCAATGTAAATCTTTGATTTCTTTCTACTAAAATTTGCTGTCTTTATGGCCTCATTGATGTTGATTTGATATATAGTGTCGTTAATCTGCTGTTTTGAGTTTGATTTCGACCGGGTCATGTGACATCACATATTAAATTGTTTTACTGAACCAGTTACCCACATTTTGAGGTTAATCGTTAGACAACAAATAAATGCGTCTTAGTAATGGATGTATGTCTATGATGACAAGTTTTAAGGCTTGTTTCTCAAAACATTCGCAGTGGCCGACTGAGAGCTTTCGCCTTCGCCGGGCTTGAGAGCTTTTGCTGCTCCAATCCTTCCTTGGATGTCTGAGACATCTTTCATAGTCCAAACAAAGGCGATATAGATGTCTTGAAATGTTTCTACTAGGATTTATTTTTGGTGTCCTGGATTTGATAATGACATGTTATTCTTTTCATTTCCAATTCTTCCTTGGATGTCTGAGACATCTTGCATAGTCCAAAGAAAGGCGATATGGATGTCTTGAAATGTTTCTACTAGGATTTATTTCTGCATGATTATGCCGTGTACTATCTGATTATATGTGTGACATGCTATGACTGTTTACCTTGTATTACTTAATTAACTGCATTTTGATTTTTCATAGTTAGACTTAGACGACAAATGAATGCATCATTTCAATGAGTTATCATCTATGATGATGAATTTTAAGGCTTGTTTCTCGAAACATTCGCAGTGGCCGCCTTCGCCGGGCTTGAGAGCTTATGCTGCTCCAATCCTTCCTTGGATGTCTGAGACTGTTCTATTTCTTCTCACCAAGTTAATGTTTCTTATTCGGTGATTTTCTATAGTTGCACTAATGTGGGTATCGTACTCTCTGTTTTGAATGTTGTTTCTCCATCATTGTACCCTCGCCATCTCTTTCTGTAATATGTTATTGCCCATTTACAGATGCTTTGATTTTTAAACATTTTTATGGAATTTCTTTTATAATAGCAATTGCTCACCATCTATGATGACAAATTCAAGGCTTGTTTCTCAAAACATTCGCAGTGGCCGTCTAAGAGCATTCGCCTTCGCCGGGCTTGAGAGCTTGTGCTGCTTCAATCCTTCCTTGGATGTCTGAGACTCGTTAACCTTTTTGATTGGTGATACATCTACTTCTTATGGAATTTCTTGTTGCCATGTTTTCATGAATGTGTTTTATATTCCTAGGGTATCTTTGTATTTCTTTCATGTTTTTCTTGCTTGTTTCTCTTCTGGTCATAAGATTCAACCGTTCATCCATTTAGAAGGGTGCCATGAAATGTTTCAATCCGACGGATTGGGGACTTGACGTCTGCCCCTCTGGCTAGCTAATAAGTGCCTCAGGGATGAACAAGCCCCTTACATTTAACCGTCTGTTTCACTTTGTCAGCAGACGTTTTTGTTTTCTGTTGATCATTTTAGGATGGAACATATTCTACTGCTGAAATCGATCTACCTTTTGTTAGGAAACAAGATGAACAACTGTTTTTTAAGCAAATTGCATATGTTTTGGATGCGTTACACAGCGATTGAATTATAAATTGTGGCTAATGATGACAAATATAAGGCTTGTTTCTCAAAACATTCGCAGTGGCCGCCTGAGAGCTTTCGCCTTCGCCGGGCTTGAGAGCTTGTGCTGTTCCAATCCTTCCTTGGATGTCTGAGGCTATTTATCTCATTTTAAAATGTTTACTATTTACTTTTAGGTAATACCATAGCGTTTCTTTCTCTGAAAACTTTATTTCTGCAGCAACAATTCATTATCTCTGTTGACAACTGCGTATCAGAGATTTGCCGTGGTGACTCAACTCTACAAGTCGTCAATATATCAGAATATGCTTTCTTGAATGCCAGACAGAATTCATGTGACCAATGTAATTCTGTGACATTGAAGATTTTGGAGTGACCGATTGCCTCCAGTGACGCTCTATTTAGTGTTTTGTAAAATTGTTTGGTGATTTCCAGATTGTGTCAGTCTCGTTTTTTAGTACAAGCAATCGAATATTGGTCCAAAGAAAACATTTTGGTTTTAAGCTTTACTGTACCGTCTTGTTTATGCTTGAAATACCAGAAATTAGATGGTTGAGTTACATTTTATCCGATGTCAAGTGAATTACAACAAACTGGCTTTTTTATTTCTCAATAAATATTCTAACTTCCAAGGTCTCCATCATGTTAATTTGATTTGTTCCTCGCGTAACCATCCTAAGTTGATAATTAGAATTCAATATCGCTAATGTCTCTGAGGTTGGCTTTATGAGTATCAAATCGGATGAGGAATTGGTAGATTCTAACTGGTTTAAACCACACAGCAGTCATGCAGCCATCTGATCATTGTGAAGCCAAGTAGGGTCTGATCATCCAAAGCCAAACAAAAATTAAAATTTAGTACCAGCTATTATCGTATTTTAGTATCATATGTGACAACACAGGTTGTACAAAAATTAAAACTACTTTAATTTTTAAAATTAAAATTTTATATCATTTTTTTGAAAAAGTTTTTTTATATTGTGTTTTTCTATACATATTAATTATGTCTTCATTTTTAACATAAAATTCAACAACAATCTAAAAATGTTCCATAATGTCCTATCGTGGCCATAGTTATCGATACTCATGGGATGTATTATGTATTATCAGGTAATTGTATCCATCAGTACACTCTTGGGACACATTCCTAATCGTGGCCATAGATATCGATACTCTTGGGATACATACCCAATCAGGAGTATTGATACTTTAAACCTTGATTGAAATTATGAAATTTGAATATTTTAACATAAAAATGACAAATAAATTGATCCTAGAACCATTCATTTGAAAAAATTGTAATTAATAATAGAGCAACCTAATAGTTGAATATTTAAGGTTCAAAGAATTGTTACTGGTCGATACACCGGTAGGGTGTATTGATTTTGAATATTTAGGGTTCAAAGTATCGATACACCAGTTAATTTCTACCTATTTGTTTTTTTAGATTTTGGCTAATAGGGCCATTTTAAGTCTTGACTACCCTTTGAACCAAGCCTTGACCCGATGCAACCCTTGTAGGGGTGTATCTGGAAGGGTCCATTGGTCGATATCAGCCAATATGTAACTATTTTTTGATCCTTTTGAATTAAGTCTCCTTTGCAATTGGTATATGGTTAGTCACCTTTGATTGGATTGATGAACTAATTTGGAATCAAAGATCAAGAAGGGAAGTTCTTGATGAAATACTTTGCATATTATGTGACAACCTAATTGTGTTTTTTATCCAAATGCTGTGGCTAGAAGTCCAACAACTGTAACAACAAAGAGAGATGGAGATTTTTGCTCTCATTTAATCGCCAGAAAACCATTTGATCGTTGGAATAGACTTTTCAAGCATACGTCATATTTTTTTCTCCTTAGGGTTCCAATAGGGTTTTACTTCGTAAGGGTTGATGGCTTTGGTTTCATTGGTTCTATTTATGCTTTCCTTTTTTTGTTCTTCAATTTTCTTCTTTCAATGGGGGTAGAGTTCGGTTTCGTTGGTTTGCAGTCGAGTTCATATCCCACGCAAAGGAAAGAGGGAAATTGATCTGCACTTCTTCCGTGATGAGCCACTTGTGGTTTCTCTCCACTATCTTCCCGCCATTGCCGTTGCAACTCTTAGCAGCAGCAGTTAACACTCCCTTGTCTTCCTATATGTACTTTCCAGTTTTGTTCTTATTTTAATAAATATATATTTTTATTTTTTATAATTAATTTGTATTTAATAGTTCTAAGATATTAATAAATAAGTATCTTTTATTAATTTGTAATAAATATTAAATATTTTAATAGTTTTAAGATATTAATTTGCTAATTATTAAATATTTTTTCATTGCTTCATGGACTTTATTACAATTTTCTTTATTATTTGAAAATTTAATAATTTATTTTAATTAATAAATTTATATGTATTTTCAATTTTATTCTTATTTTAATAAATTAATTTTTTTTATTTTTATAATTTATTCATATTTTCAATATTATTTTGAATTTAATAAATTATTTTTTACAAAATAGTACAAATTGAACTCAAAATTACTAAATAGTCTGTTTTAGGGGTAATGTAGTTAAATCATGGAATTTCAGGTGTTGAAGGGATCCAACACAAACAACAATATCTATTCATAACCTCTAAAAAGTTGAAAAGCATCTTGTCTTTTTTAAAATTTGAGACACTTTTAATATCTTTTAAACTTTTCAGATTTCAGATTTATCAATAAATGGTGAAATTGGAAAAGGGGAGTATAAGACATGCAAGACTTGGTTGCGGAATTAGAATGGTTATAGGATAGTCAAGAAATATATGAATATGTATTGATCCTTATATATTATTTATAGTTCTACTGAGTCTCTTTCAATGTTTTAAGAATTGACCCAAAGGATGAACCATTTTCCCTTCGGGTCACAAGTCACTGGTTCAACCACCTAGGTCGAACATGTCAACCTTGAAGGTTTTAGAGGAACAAAATTTGGTTTAGTCAAGATTTTGAGAGGGGGTTTGACTATAATAGCAGAAAGACATGCTATTGGAAAAAAAAATTACAACTGAGGCTTAGTTTGGGAAGAGTACAAATACAAATACGTGTTTAAAAACATAAAATACAAGGCTTTGTACTCTACGCATTGGTGTTTGCACTGTTTCCAAACTGAGCCTGAGATACAACTGAGAGGTTAATCTCACAAGGAATTGGATGCATATTTGACAGCAGCTTTTCTCTTCTAAGCCTTTTTCCCCTCTTAATCCCCATGGGAAACCATCTTAGAGACTAAGTAGAGAAAAAACTACTAAAACTGTAACAAAGCAGAGAAAAAATAACGTTAAGGGGAGGAGAACAAAGCAAATGAGGCCAGTAAAAATAATTAAAAAGAAACAAAAACAGCAGAACAAACTATTATAACGAAAGAAACACAATAGCAGAAGGGAAGATCCAGTAGGAACTAGGATTCTAGGAAGGAAAAGGAACAAGAAAACACCCAATGACTATAAGGAAGAACGCAAGAAGGTATGAGAAGTCTAAAAGTGATACTTCCCTTTCTTATTCTTTCCCAGAATTGGCCAACATCTCCTTTATACTATCAGCGCGAGTTTCGTAGTCCCATATCGGCTAGGCATAATTCTAAAGAGACGTATAAATATAGGGAGATGTCGTTCTTATAGCACCACAAGCCTCGTGACGAAGTGAGCTGGTCAAGTCCACGTTTGGCGTGGTCAAGACCAAGGAAAGTCCCCGGGCCACCTTTCGCAGAGATGCGGCCTCGGAAACGAGGAATCTTCGAGCATGTGAAATCCATTCCTTCGTGGAAGGGCTGAGACGCGTGTGGAGCCCGGATTTCCGCCGAAGCATCTTGGCCGTATACACAGTCATTCACTTGATCCTATCATGGATTAACTGAACGGGGATTACGATCATGTGGCTTCTCTTTTTCCTTGGTTTTTCGCTGGGAAATCCCCGCTCTGCTTTTCGAGTTTTGGTTTTGGGTAATCAAAATATCACCTTCTTATTCGAACTTTTGAGTATAAATCTTGTTGTTTGTTCTTGCTGCTGTAATTCTTTTGTTTTCATGGTGTAAGGTTGCCTTTATTCGAACTTTTGAGTGTAAAAAAGAAGCACATGAAGATTCAAGGAGACATTAGCGTTTATTATCTTATCAACAAGCTCCAGCGTGGTTTGTTTTGGCTATTCGAGGTGGTATGTTAGGAAACTTCCGTAGCTTGCCATGGTTGTCTGTGAGAAAGGATGGTTTAGAGAAGTTGTACTTTGTAGCTGGATTGCAAAATCTCGGTAACAATTGCTTTCTAAATTTAGTTTTACAGGTAAAATCCATGCAAGCAATTGGATTTTATCATTGTTCATGGTATCAAGAAATGTGTTTCTGTTTTAAACAGGGTCTTGCTTGTTGTTCTTGCTTTCTTCCTTTTCTCCATTACATGATTGAGGAAGAAGATTCGTTTGCTGAGAACATGCCTCTTACTGTTGCCACTAGTTGTTGTGAATTAAGTGAATATTTGAATTTGTGATGCTTCTATTGATTGAAATTCTTTTATTATCTGCATTTTATTGAAGCAATGCTAATATAAGAATTAAATTCTAATTGTACTATATTCAATTATGACCCTTTCTGGAATGGAGAGGTGAAATGGGATTTTTTTTTTTCGGTTTTCAAACACATATATAAATTAGTTGGGATAAGGCTTTGTTAAGTTTTGTTTTTTTTTATACTCTGTTTAAGGGAACTTTCTTGTGTTGTAAATGGGGTATATGATGGGACTTCATACTATTCTCCTGTATGATAGCTGTTTCTTAGTCATTTAAGATCTGGAGGAATCTTTGACAAATTAGTGTTGGGTTTCCCTCTTATGTGGAGGATGGCCCAAAAAGCCCATGTGGTATTTTTGAGACCATGGATGAGAGTATTCTTGTTCAAATGAAAATAGGAAAAGGAAATAACATTTTAGTGGTGTTAGTTGCCAAAAAGATTGGGAGAAGAAGAGAAGAAAAAAGAAGAGAATCCCGTGCAAAAATGGAGAGAGAAAAGGATCTGATTTGGCTCACTGGTTTGTTAGATCTCAATCCGCGAACAGTACCTCCGTTTTGGGTGAAATTTCTCCATTATCTTGAGATATTTGTTAGTTTCCAACAAACATATTTTCTTGATGATTTGCTGATTGTATGCCTCTAGTTTTATCTAGAAAGAACCATTGTACAACCACTTTCTTGATAGTGAAAGTTTTTTGGGTGACCGTGGTTTTTTCTTTCTCACACCGGGAAGGTTTTTCCACGTAAATTTGGTTGTGTTCTTGTGTGCTTGTTCTTTGGTTTAAGCTCTATTAAATTGTTTCCTAATAGATTCACACAAAGAGGGAGAAAAATATTTTTCCGCTGTTTTTTGAAACTTGGTTATAATTTGCTTGATTTTGTGATTCTCCTTACAAGTGGTATCAGAGCCAGATTATTGTTACTGAATATCTTGTGCTGAATATGGAAGCTAATTTGAGTAGAATGATTATTTTGAATGGTGCAAATTACCATACTTGGAAAGGAAAAATGAAAGATCTCCTTTATGTTAAACAATTTCATCTACTGGTGTTTGCCACTGAGAAGCCAGAAAATATGTCTGAGGAACAATGAACCTTGTTACATCGATAGGTT